CTTAGAACTAATTCAATAGTAAAACAAGTATGAGCAAGAACGCGTTCAAACTACAGCAATACCCCCGCATTTGCGTCAAGTCTGTGGAAACCCCAAAAGGGAGGAAAAGCCACAAGACAGAGCAAACAGTCAGATACAATAATCAAACTGTAAGGTCCTGAAGGCTTTGCTCTAGGGCATCTTAAAGCTACAGTGCCTTAGCCCTGTAGTAGTAAATCTCAGGTGATTTAGTGGCTAAGTGAAGCAGATTATCATTAGTAGAGGTACTAACTATAACTAGGTTAAATATACTAGGAAGTTTAGCGAGTAGGTGCCACTTAATAACCTGATAATAGATATTGTTAATAAATATCTTTATTGCAACCTGGATTAAATTAGTACAGATATAGGAATATTAGGATTCTTAATTAGTACCTTAGTCTCTGATGGAAAGAGATGATTTTTATGGAACGTTGATGGTCGATGGTTAATGATGAGAAGGTAGAATTAAAAGCAGTGCTTTTAATAGCTGTACGTATATGTTCTATGGAGTAATCCCTTGTCACAGGACTAACAGTAAGAGTGGCAATCAGCAGGCAACAGTATATCATGTGGCATACAAGCCCTAAGCTATAATCTAGTAAGGGATGGTGAATGTTCTTCATTACCCATGCTCGACGTTTGCTTATGTTGACCATTCTGAAGGATGTTGTCACTACCTTGGTTTGAAGCGGTCATAATTGAATGCATTCCTTACGGTACGATAAAGCTAACAATATATAATTATACACAGTAAGTCTGGGGGTCTCAGGTTCCAAGCGCCAAAAAACCGAAAAGCAGTGGATAAAATCGATTAAACGACGCTAGGGCGAATCTGAAACTAGGTGGAAGGGTCGGTTAGATCTGCAGATCTCCCTTTTTGCTCTAACTTCCTGACGTCTGATACATACAGCACTAGATAAGATGTAAGAGGAAACCGGCCTGGAATGTAGTTTACTGCACAATAAAGTAACTAAGAAACTTGACTCTAGAGTAACATTGCTGTTGCTGGCGACCAGTAGAAGAATCAAGGTTACTGTGGAAAAAACTTGGATGGAAAGATACGTAAGTTTGCAAAAGTTGATTTGGATTGAATTCGAGGTAGTCTTGAGCTCTTACTTATACGTGTGATTCAGCAGTAATTATACTGCTTCGTGTCCTTGATACCCCTCCCCAAGACGACTGCGTTAAGAGGCTTCTTTCAGGGCAGGGGATAAAATCTAGTACTTGTTAGACCTCAGCACAACCTACCCATGGGTTCTTGCCTACAGCCCATAGCCCATACATGGCTGTGATAGATACAAATTATGTGTCCTGTGAAAGGCAGGGCAGCTACTACGTTGCTGAGGACAGTCTACATCCGCATCTACACTCTACGGTCCACTTGAAAGTAGAAGGTGAGAAATAGTTGAAAGGAAACTCGAGCATTTCTTTAAAAGAGAGAGAAAAAAAAAAAAAGGTAGAAAGTAAAGAAATCGACATATACAACAAAATCCCCCCATTCGGGCAGTGGATCAAGGAAAACATCCTCGTCACATTTCTCTGTGATCGAGGTAAAAACCTTGAACGGGATACATCAATATAACAAGGAACCCATAACCCAAATCTGTCCTCCAGCTGTCTCTTTTTGTCTTTTTACCAGCTTTTTCAAAGTTTCAAGTCTCTCTTTCTCTTTCGTCCCCGGATAAAAAGATGTCCTCCCACTGCTGTGGTGAGAACGTTCAACCCTCATGAGGAGGTGGACTCAGTGAGCCAGTCCTTCCTTCATCCCCAGGAAAATAAAAAAGAAAAAAAAAAGTTCTCCCACATCAAGTGTGGTGAGAACTGTCAACTCTCATAGGAGCTAGGCCCTGGAGGCTAGTCCTGTCTCATCCCCTGATATAAAACTGTTCTCCCACTTCATGTGGAAAGAAAATTGTTAAAATGGATTTGATCACTTGGACCAATCCCCTCTCTCCTTCTCAAACAAAAAAGGTGTCTCCCACCTCATGTGGATCCGACTACATCTTCCCCAAGAATCCCTTGATGGGATGTTTCAATATGTCTCTTGACTGAGACTTCAATGTTTCCTCCGCTGGGATTTCCCAATCCCGTGGCCGGCGCCGGCCAATTCCCTTGTTCACTTTGTTCCTTGATGATTGTTCAGTCGGTAAGTGGAGGTCGAAGATGTCCGATCGAATGTTCAATCGCTGCATTGGAGCAGTCGATAAGGCGAAGGTAGATTGAATTAAACGCAAGGCTTGCCATAAGGTTGCTGTAGTTGTTGATGTTGCAGATTTGGAAATGGAATTGGCTTGTCGCCGCAGATTGATTGTATCGACTCGACTGAAGGTTTCTCGGTTTGTGGATCGGATGGGTTTTTTCGACGATTGAACGATTAACCACCATGTTGACGCTGCTAGCCCAAAATTGACACTCGAGAAGAGAGAGAGTCGAAGTCGTGAACGAAGGCGACCCGGCCGACACCTATTGGGGCCCTCAATAGGGCGGCCAGCAATCGCAGGAGCATCGTTCAAATGGTGTGTGCAGGTGAAACCTTTTTCGTTCGTTGTTTTGTTCTTTGCGATTGTGATGTTGTCGCTTTCTTGGTTTCGCTTTTCCCGGTCAGAACACTTATGCGTTTTTTGTTGTTGTTCTCCCGTCAGGCACCACAAGCAGTCAAGCAATGGTGGGTGGGACGTGACATTGCCAATGCCAACGTCCCTAGGTATGTCAGGTTCGCGGGGGGTTTGGCGTGCCAGTGCCCAGAATGGACAATTTGCTGGGCTATCCTGGCGCCCCCCGGAAGTAAAAAGGACAACTTAGAAGTAGAAAGGGGAACCCACCACATGGAGGCCGGTGGTGGTGCTCCCCTGAGCCTCGTCGTTCACAGTGAGGTTCAACATGGCTGTGGCCTGAGAAATCGTCAGCAATTGCTGTCAAGTAAAGGAGGGAGAAAATTGAACTCACAATCCAGCTCATTGCCAAAGCCCCCCGAGCGAGATACTCGGCCCTCTATAAAGGTGTAAGTACGCCGATCATAAACCTCGATTTGGTCCTAGGACAGGAACTTACCGTTTCGGGGAGGGGAGGGGCGTCTGTCATAACCACGTCTCTATCTTCTTCAGCCGGGGCCGTGATGGGTGCAACAAATGCGTCCTTCATCACAACGTCACCATCCCGGGTGCGTGTGAAAGCAGCATGAAGCTGCTGTGCACGACGCTGCTTGTAGTTGTAGTTGTTGTTGTTGCCCGGGTGTCTAGGCGCCTATTGTTTTGTCAGCTTGATAGTCATAAAAAGTCGAACAGCAAAGAACGTACCGCATTTTGCCGAGGCTGTCCGTTGTTGGGCGAATTGCCCTGCCGTCTGGGATTGTTCCCACGCTTGTGAGTGTTCGCCCCATTCGGATTTGGAGTATTAGGAGAAAGACGAGGCTGCTGGTTGGGTCTCTGACCGCCAGCGTTTCCTCCTCGCCGTCTGTTCCCACGAAGGGACTAGAGGAAGTCAGCTTGTGCCTTAAATAACAGAACAAAGAGGAAGTGATAGATACATTTTGGTTGCGATTCACGCGACCCTACAAGCCAGTTAGCAAGGAGTACATATCGCACCAGAGAGACAGACACTTACATGTCCATTGCGGTTGGTGTTACCGCCAAATTGTCCAGTTCCGTTCGGTTGGTGGCCATTGGAAGCAGAAGCTTGAAGAAACCGGGCCATGTCGCCACCGAAAGTATTGAATCCGTTGGTATAGGAAGCCATTGGGTTTTTGGTCTGCCTCGGAAAAAAAGCTATAAAAGAAGAACAGTTTCAAGAGAGCGAAGGTGGAGCGAAATTTTTTTGGCGTATACCACTGCTACCGGCTCTGGTCGGTTGTGCCTACTCTCCAGAACGGATCCCTTTATTTCCTTCGTGAGTGAAAAAAGGTTAAAAAAAAGTTGCGAAACGATTTAAAAGCAGATTTGTTTTGGCTCTTTTTTTTGGAGTCCAAAAGTTTGAAATTCAAAACGATTTGAAAAGCAACGCTCCGATTTCAGCCCCTATTGAGAGACAACGTATAGCCAGTGGGTGCGTGAGATAAAGGTCTGCGGTGTGGAAATGTAATAAAGAGCTCTTGTGGTGTTCTTTGGTTTCTTCGAGTTGGAATCTGGAATAGTCACTTGATACCTGACGGTAGCAAGTAACTGAGCACACGGTTTGGGACTGAAGAAGAAAAGAAATCAGAGAGAGAGTCGCGGGGCAAATTGGGGGGCTTCTTATAGACGAGGGGAGCTCGAAGAGAAGATGTAATACCTCGTCGAGTCCGTGGTTCTCCATTGCAGTAAATGCGTCAGAAAGACGGTTGACATGAAGGCAGCCATGCCTACCAGAGCTGAGAGCGCTCGAGATCATTCTTTTTCTCAGGATTTGTGGGCGAGAAGGTGCGTTGTCACCTTGATTCCCCCCAGATTGTATGGGGTACCACATTCCTGTTCCTGAATTTTCCGGGGAAATAAGCTTATCAGCGACGGATCTACCTATAAATAGCATGTCAATTTCCATTTCCGCAGAGAATGCCCCAATCATATTCAAGGATTGGCACTCACGCGCTGGAGAATTTTCCTCAGAGCTCTGGTTCCACTATTCTACATCTTTAATGATTGGTTGAAGCTTAAGGTTTTGTTCTGTACATCATACTTAGAGAATGCCTTTCCTTAGAAAGGAAGGGAAACAACATACCAGCTCTGGTCATCCATTCGAACTGGTAGAATCAACTTGAGGTGCTTAACTCCGTCTTTTCGTTCCTGACTTTGATCTTTACTGTTCAAGGCAGCGAGAGAGGAGCAAAGAAGAAGGAAGGGGCGAGCATACCAGCCCTATACCGTCCAATAGAACGCCTACGAACATGCTCAACAAGCTTTTCTCCGTCTTTTCGTTCCATGCTCTGAGGAAAGGTTTCTGGCTTAAAATAGAACGAAAAGACAGACGACCAAGTCAGGATCGTCCAATCGAAGTCGCAGATCAGCTCAGGAAGCTTTTCGCTGTCTTTTTCTCACTTCTGACGTAGATGGACTTTCGTCCAAAATCTCTGGGTCGCGCTTTCTCCCTCCAAATTTGCCACCTGATGTCTGCGAGGGAGAATGGTGCGTCGCAGCTCTCCCCTCCCTTTCTGCACAGATTATAGTTTTGACCTTCTTCTTCCTAGGCCTCGCGACACCGCCAGGCGACGAGGCAGAAGCGCTCCCGTTCGACGCAAGGCTATCCCGTTTCCTCTTCTCGGGCTTAGCATCTCTCTTCTTGCGTCGCTCCTCCTTGATTTTCAATCGCCGCTGGACTTCCTCTGAAATATCCTCCGTCTCTAACGCTACAGGCATCACGTCTGCGACTTCCTGCTCGGCGCCGGGAATAGCTAGATCCAGCCGCTTGCGCTTCGAAGACCGAGAAATCGCCGCGTACGCCCGGCTCTCCTGCGCCTCCATCAGCTGGGCCTCTGCCTGCATTACATCGACATCCTCATGCGCGTCCTCGTCCGCCCTCGCCCGCTTGTGCGTTCCCCCCCTTCTTTCTCTTTCTTTTGAGCCATTACTTTGCGATGAGTCGCTGATGCTGTGACTATTACCACTCACCACTGCCTCAGGCACACCCGCAAAGGGATTCCGCGCTTCGTCCTCGTCAGTTCCCTTCTGCCCCCCTAGATTTCGGCCAAAATCGGGACCAGACTTACAATTCATCTGAATGAACCATCAGAACCAAAGAGAAATTACCATACAACGAGCTAAGGATGACTCACGATATGTTTCTTGATTACCCTGAATTGCATCACTAACCTATTCGTCTTTTCGGCCATCGAGGAAACCAGTCGGAAGGAGTCCCCATCGCCCACGACTTGGTTCTTCACACCATTCAGCATCTCCAGATGAGACAACAGGACGGACTCATGCCGATTGCAAATCTTTGTTTTCAAGCTCCGTCAGTACTTGGCATGTTACGGTGCATTATCTATCCAGCTAGCATGCATTCATCCACCCACCTCCGACCATGAGAATAGCTTGCGCTGTGCATCATAATTTTTTGACTGATGATTCCCGTTTGCTTCGTCGCTAACGTCTTCAACAAATGGGTTTAACGGGTGCTGGGGATTGCTTGATGGCATTATGCGTAGTCTTTCAATTTTGACCCTTCGTTGAATTAAAGCCCGCAAATCCTTCTATGATCGACGGAGCTGTCAATATAAGCCGGGGGTCCCGCGCCAAGACTCTGCTACTGTCCGCCACTCACATTAGCGCTCATTAGCGCCAGATGTGGAGTTGTCCTGCGAACCATTGTGCATGCAGATTTTCGGAGTATCTGTTGTCCACCTGCACTTCTTATTCACTGTCGCATTGATCTTTAACTCGCCAATGTATATTGATCATAGAACTCATATATAATTTCCATTTCGAGCTCTCGACATGTTAACGCCAGAAAAATGTGCTGTACTATAGTGATATCCTGACCTCCTGTGACCATGCGAATCGTACATAACCAGATGTAAGTCTCATCTTCGCCAATACGCCATTTCAAAACATCATTCATGCTCAGACGCAGCCCAATAGTCGTACAGATAGTCCCCCTCAGCTCCCAAATCCCAGCCAACTACCATGTACCTTGGTCAAAATCGAACCGAGAAAGTTCTTTCTGCGCATCCTCGGCATCCTTTTTTGCCTTCATTCGCATGTAGAAGATCGGACAGTCTCGAGAGGAGCAAATTACCTCGCAGTGCAAGCTACCCTGACAACGCTGGCATTGAGTCCAGAGCCGTCCGAATCGGACCTCCAGGTCCGAGACTTTGGTCAATGTCTTTGTGTAAAGCTCGCCAATTCGAGGGCGGCAAAGTGCGCAAACAGCGCCAGCCATCTCTTCTTTCCCAGAAAGAGGCTTCTTGCAACCCATACAGGTTTGGGTCTTCTTCGCAAACTTCATCAGACCTCCCAAGGTAGGCGCCGCGACTGAGATGGACCGAGTGTGTTCACCAGTCAAAAGTTGATTGGCCTTCTTCTCACCAAGAATGGGTTCGAAAATGCGACCCAGAGGGTTCGCCAGTTGGTTGTCAAGATAATATTTTGTGTCGATCGGAATGTTGTTCTCCAGAACGTATATAGGATCTTCAGACTTCTCGTAGTTCTTCGAGCCTCCAGCGCCCTTGACAATGACATAAGCCACACGATCACCGAGAGTTGGCGCAGAGCCTGCGTCACGCTTTCGCATCCGCTCCGCGAGCTCAACGTGTGCCTGCTTGGCTGTGTAGTCTGCTTTGGAGAGCGCTTTGGTAATCACAAGCTTTGACATATCAATCTTGTTCTGCAGAAGATCCGAGATGGTCTCCTTGACGTAACTGCAAATGAAGTCAGCGAAGAGCACAACATGGAGGGGTGAGCCATCATTTACCTCTGAGCGCCATCGATGTCTCTGTCAATCAAAATTTTGTGCAGCACCGTCTCGATGACATTCTGAACCAACAGGCAGTTATCTCTACGGACGGTTTCAATACCCTTTGTATCCATCTTATCGAACTTGTTTGGATTGGTCCAATACAGCCCGGCGTATCTCTTCTTGTTGATTAGAAGATAGGGGAAGTAAACCTTCTCGAACTCGAGTTTAATGGGTTTGAGAAACTTAGAAGAGACATAATCGGCTGCCTCCTGTCCGAGTTTCATGGCCTCCTCCAGTTCAGCCACGCCAAATTTAACCATGACCGAGTCGGTATCACCGTAAATGACCTTTGCATCATGAGAGTAGCCATTAGCGATAGTGTATCTGGCTTCTACCTCCTGCTTGGTCTTCTCAATCATTTGACGTCCGTAACTGGTGGTACTACTTGCAATAGCAAGACAGGGCAACTTTCCGTTTGTGGCACCAGTGAGACCGTACACACTGTTGGCGCTGATCTTCAGAGCAAGCTGTCTTCCGTTCAACACGGCTTTCTTGAAGGGGTCCGTTTCAACAGCTAGCTCTTTTTTCGCTCGTTTCCGAGCAGCAAGCAATTCTTCCAGAATTTGCGATAGGAGACCTTTGCGCACTTTTGCTGTGCAGAACAAGTCGCCGTTCGGAGTCACAATGTAGTCTTCATCTTTCTTGAGCTTCAGTTTCTCAACGCTGTTCTTGTTTAGTAGAGTCGTGTAGCATAGGTTATGTGCTTGGATGATCGAGGGATATAGAGAAGCGAAATCGAGGGTCGCAATCGGAACACCGTAGTACCCGCGACTTGGTTCAATAACGGTAGCGCCTTCGTAGTCTTGTTCGTCTGTCGACTTCATATTCGGGATGACAAGCTGTTGCTCAAGGGCTTTGCGAAATAGTTGACTCAGGAACTTGACTTGCTGGCCGCGAGATAGGAGAAAGTTGAATGGTACACCCGTGACTCTCGCCATCTCAGTATAATTAACCAAGCACATCAGCTTGTCCATCAGCCGTTGTGGCAAGTACGCATCCTTCAAACAATACACGGCTAATCGCCGCCTCGAGTCAGGAGTTCCATTAAACAATTCCGTGATCATCGTATGGTGGACATCCTCTTTCTGCTCCTTAAGGAACTCGTAAGAAACGGAGTTCAGCGTGTAACTTCGCAGGTGATAGTCTCTTTGGACCAACTGGAGGAGATCGAGCTGAATCCTTCCGTTAGTGTTTGTTGCCTTCGTGTCTCGATTACCCATCTGCTTGCTGGAAAAGCTTGTCGACGTCGCCTGCGACGCCATGCCCTTGAGACGGGTCCAATATGGGAACCCAGTGCATTTGAGATGCTTTGCCCGGTCCAAGAGATATGGAAAATCGAAGTTGGCGATGTTATATCCGATGATGACATCGGGATCGACCTTCTCAAGGAAGTCGCGCCAAGCCATCAGCATTTTCTCCTCTTTGTCGAATTCCAAAATCTGCGTGTTCACAATCAAACTACACGTATCCAGAACGAAAACATTCCGAATGAATGGTTTCGATTCTCCATAGCGGGTGACAACGTTTGCTATCTGGATGACAGGGTCATGATTCGGCTCTGGAAAGATGCCTTTGCGTCCGGCGCACTCGATATCGAAGGACAGGATGCGAAGAGGCGCCATTTTAGCCCATTCGCCATTGGGCGGGTGAGAGACCAGGTCACGATAATCGATGACGGCTTCAATTTGACAGTTTGATAATTTCTCCCGAGGGCTGAGCAGGCGGTATTTCCCCGCCTTTGCCTCCACCCATGACATACCAGCAATGTCCGTGTCAATCATGAACCTGAGAAGGTACTGGATATTATCGAAGGTGAGTATACCAGCATCGGCGCTACTCCACAAGCCTTTGTAATTCAAGCCTTGCGCATTGTTCTCCAGCGCACTTCGGACCTTGCTGATGAATTTCGGTTCCGTGACTGTAATCTTCAGATAATAGCTCTTCTGGTTTCCTTGAAATCCATAGATGTTCTCTCTCATTGTTATTTGAACCGACTGAATGACTGGTTGAAACTGTCCTAGTTTGCTCTCGAGAAAGGCGCGATAGGGATCGCAGTCTTCCTTGGTGAAGTTCACCGGCGCTGCGATATAGAGGTAGTGCTGAAAGCCGGTGACGTGGAGCAAAACCGATTGCCCGGCCTGCATCAAGACCATTAGCAAACCAAGCGGACTGGCTCTGAGGGAACAAATCTACCTCTGTAACACCAAAAAGTCTGACAGCTGTCTTTCCGCCAGTAATCGTTCCCTCTTCTGCATCAATCTGCTGGAAGCAGATATTATCTTTGGTCTCGTCGAAGTCACCCAAAGGTGGTCGTTCCCATTGTTGGTCCTTTTCCGAGTTGCTATCTTTCAGACCGTTGATATCCTGGGTCAACTTTTCCAGAACTTCCTCTTCGAACTGGCTCTTCTGGGGCTGACTTGAGCCGAAAGATTTCCGCAGGCCATTCTGCGATAATGAATTAACTGTGGCAGAGGGTTGCGCATCGAGCTTTCGTTTCTTCACTGTGCCGGGGGTGTTCAGTACGCTGCGAGGATTATTCGTTGCATCACCCAGAACCCGCTTCTGGGGCATTGCGACGGCTTCAGGCATAGTGACGGATCATACACGAAGTCCGGTATTTCTGCTGATGGGGAGAAGGACCGTCAAGACGAGGGCGAAACAGAGGTCGACGTGTTTTGGAAAGTCACATAGATGGAGATGTTATCGGCGGGCACTGCGCTCCCAGTTCGGGAAGTCGTGTCATGGTCGCGCCTCGAACGTGACGCTCTTTACGCGTGTATTAGATCACGTGATCTGACGTCGCGCCTCCCGGGCCGACTATGTACACTAAATAGTCAAGGTTGAAGGTGGCCTCGTCTAAAACAGTGGTGCTCCTGGATCTAAGTCCTAGCTGATGGAAAGGGAGGTCCATCGCCCGTATTCACAGCATGTCCATCTGCATTGAGGTATTGCTAGAAGCAAAGTAAAAGAAGTTGGTCTTTATCAAAGACGATCTCCAAACAACACACCTGATGGAATATTATTGCTTTTCTGCACTTTTTCGTGAAAGAACCGGTTCAGCTGTCAAGTCGGAAAACCAATTTGAAGGTTCTCTGATTGCATATAGTATATCTGAGGAATCTAGGTACATCGTGGTCTGTGAAAGTTCGACGATTTGAATTCAACATACAGCCTCTGTCGCGAAATATTCTCTACCACGATCACCTGTCCTCATGAGTCGTATAGATGTTGTTATACCCTGCCAGCGACTCCTCCTTCAACACTTCCATCTCCTTACCCTGGAACCGGTTCGGGTCCAGCGCTTTCTTCAGCGACTCGTCAACTTCTTCCCCCTGAATCAACTTGGTCAAGAATTTAGCTGACCCTGCCGCATGAGTGACCCACACTGCAGCTGCCACATAAAGGCCTTTAATTGACGGAATCGTGCCGACCAAAGGC